GCTTATTGCACAATGGAGTTGAATACACACAGTCGTTTTGCTGATATTGGTTTCTGCCAGGTTTATTGCTTGCTAACCCTGGTGCCCTGCATGTTGGGGTGTCACAGGTTATTCTCCTCTGATCAAAGTAATACAAAGTAATGAGAGTTGATATTCGATGTGGAGTGCTAACAGCTCGCAGGGGGGCCGTCTGAAACAGGCTCCGTGTCACCGTCGGAAATTTACAGGTGACAGGAACGATGATGTGGTCTAATAAATTTGTGATAGATGCGTGTTACTAACACTAAAGTTCACAGTGCATGATTGCTTCCTTACTGCCCACCTAATCTCAGCTTCAATGCAGATGAAATTTTCTATGCTTTTTATGTGTTGATGTGGAGGCCATGTGAAGTGGCCAGCTGGGATGGTGCATGAAATTGCTACACATCTATAAATAGCAAACAGCATTATAGGGCAATTCTACTTTTTGTCTTGAAGGAAGTAACAATCTCTGTTAGCGGCTAAGATAGTTGGAATATTCTCCTTAAAACTCTTTTCCTACTGTAGTAGTCTTATACTCAATGTGGAAACAATAATAGACCAGTTAGTGTTTGTTTTCTGATCAACTTTCAATATGTATGAGATATGCATGAATAGTAGTAAATCACATTGTTTACTTTAAAAATCAGCTTTAATGAGGACAGATAACAATCAACATATATTAACCAGTGAACTTCAGTATACATTGCCCACTCATTGTGACTGTAAGTATACGTCTTGGGTTCAAATCTCTTCAAATACTTGAATGATTACTACTTTTAGGGTCCATTCTAAGACATTGTGCCTAAAACATGTAGCTTTAGCTAGCTGTATTTTAGTTGTGAATTGTAGTCTTTTAAATCTCAAAACAAGGAGTATCTACAGGCAGTAGACAGGTTTTCTTGATTTTCAAGTGCTAAATTGTCATCTGTGAAAGTTTGAGACAGGGTATCTTTAGCGTGACAAAATGGTCTTCACTAGTATTTTAGTTTGTTCAGGTACAAGTACACTTGACATACAGGTCCTTGGCAGGTGTACATTGTAGGTACACATCCCTAGCCCATGACTAGGTCAGAAGGATGTAGGTATTGCAGTGAATCCTTTAAATCTCAGACAACTTTCCAGTGAATGGAATAAATCTTGAACACACAATGGCACGATGATTTTGAACTGTTGGAACAAAAAATGTGATGGGGTTGATACTTACCCTGTGGTAATCTTTTTTTTTCAAACCCAAAAATTGAGTGGCTGACAACCAAGATATTAGATTTGTGTGGCCTTAGGAGCAATTGCCAGACAATTGCTGTTCCATGCATGTATTCATCCACACAGGGCATGCCTGATAGCTCCTTGTATTACCCAAGTCATATCTCATGTGGTATCCTATAGCTGACTGGAAGCACTGCAAGTCTCTTCCAAGTACATGTATTTTGGTAATAGCTGTGAAACTTTCTAACTGACAAAGCATCCCAATTCTCCTTCTCCAAAACAGTCTGATGTGAGATTCAGATGTCAGACACCTCATCACCTCCTAAACAGGAACTGAATATCAAAGTTGGGAGAATGCTCTGGGCCGTAAGTGAGGTCAATATTGGGGGAAGCCTTTGTATTGGACAGGATTACACTTGTCATAGTGGGATTACATGTGCCGGCTATCGCTGAACTGCCTTTCAAGCTGTCTACAGGTACTTTGCTCCAAGGATAGAACTTTAATAAGACTTGATCTGGAGGGTTGTAGGTACAAAATGTCCAGTCAATCTGTTTAATCCATTTACTAATTATATTATTATAATAATGCTCAAAATATAGAACTGCAAATGCAGTGTGGCTGTTCATATGATGAGTGCATACTGTAGGTACATATAACACCTATTGTTACTTCCAGGTACAAAAGTATTGTTTGGGGTCTCTTAGTTGTGGGTTTATGTATCTCACTTTCTGTTTGTCAGGACAGAGTAGGTCGACAGTACTTGGGCGAGGGAAAAATTGACAGGCAGAATAAACGGAGGTCAGACACAGTAAATGGCTCTGGCTGGGAGCCAGGAGGAATTATGGTAGACATGGGGGAATTCAGGAAGCCTGAGGATTGCATGATGGACACTCCACTTCTTCATGGAAACATGAAAGCTGATTTGTTGTTCCAGCAGAAATGACACTAGAATAGGAGTTTGTCCCAAAGCTGTGGAAGGAGGAGCCAAGGTGCAAAGCGATACAGCCACAGAGAGGGGTGCAGAAAATTTGAGAGAAGCTGGAAACTGGAAATTTGAGGAAAACTGGAAGTGCACGAAGGGCCATTGCACAGTTAAAACTCTGTAAATGTAAATGTTTTACCACACACCAATGTAAAATAATCTAGGCAATAATCGCAAGGGAAGAAGGACTACATAATATGGAGCAGTTGCATACAGTACAATGTATGTATGTATACTGTAAGTAAGAGATACCAAAGGATATTACTGCTACACTTGAAGGAACGTTACTTGGGTGTGACCAACTTGTGGCCCAGGCTGTACATTTAGGATAAGCAACGAGGTGTTTCACTGCTTCGCTATTTAATTTGAGTCAGCTGAATTGTGTAATTTGAATAAAAAAAGGGATATATCAGCAGAAATGATCAATAAGTGTTGATGCCTTGGGCAAGTTTGGCCCATGAAATTATTCTAACCCAGGGAAAGAGGGAGGACAGCCATCTATTGGGACTACTAAATGCCAGCTGCTGTTTCATGGATGACATAACATGTCTGAAAGTAGTGAAATTTAGTCATCAGGAACATCTCATTAATCCCCCTTGATATACAATAAAGTAGCCTAAGGATTGAAGACTTGTATGTGTATTATGTTATCAGGGATATGTACTGTGTGTACCTGTAAACTTGTTTAGATATATGCAACCCTATAGTTAATCCAGGAACCAAAAAAGTTTTTCCTGTTGCAAACTAATAATATCTTAAGTTAAAGTTTGCAACTTCTACATGTAGTACCCTAAATGTTCTGTGTCTGGTGTTTTTTTTTGTCCTCTGCAAGAGTTGAATTGTTACTGGTAAAAGCTGATGAGTAAAGACCCACTTACAGCCCAGTTGAAGTTGGAAGCCTCAGGATGCCCATCAGAATATTTGCTGCCACTGTGGGTAGGCATTAGGAAGAATGTAGTGCCTCATGGGTATTGCAGGTAGATTGGTAATTTCATTCATTAGTAATGTTGATAGCCACCTTTATGGAGGTGGGTAAAACATATGTTGTACTCCGGGCAGCAAAAGGTGCTGAGTGGAAACAACCCAATAGGTGAAAACTGTTTTGGGGCCAGACCGGGCCAATTTACCACTATTACCACTAGCAGACTAGCAGTCCTTATAAGATCTTAACCTGTCGTCTTCTAAGATTGATATATCCTTCAAAATCTCAACCTTTCATAAAGTTACAGTGTACACAAGTGAAAGAGAATTTTACCTTCCCTTGGGTATGTATTTATAAACATTAGAAGAAGTAAGAACAATTACATTATAACTACATACTCATTGGCACAATTTTGTACAAGGAATTAAAAGGATAAACATATCTCAGGTAGATGATTGTAAAACCACAGTTCTATTAAGATCAGAAAACCTACTTATCATTAGAAATGTGGAACTATTCATTAGCCCCTGCCTGAAAAAAGAAGAAGTCAAACCCCTCATTAATGTACGTAGAAACATAAGACATTTTTAGAAATCTTTGAACACCATAGTGTCTGTGTCTTACTAAATTATCCTACAGGTATGAGTTTGCCAATAAATGAATATGGTTCACATGTAAACGTAGGGGAGAACAAGCACAGAGAACATATAATGTCTGCATGACTACCGATATAACCGACATCGGTTTTCCTCCTCTTCGCACTGATGGCTTTCTCCTGTGCACCTGTGCTCACCTCAGACCAGGGACTCATTAATGAAACATCGCAAACATTATGGACAGGGAGGCAGCCAGGCATGGGTTTTACCAAACATGCCAAGCACTGCCCCTTGGTGAAGTACTATTGTTGAGGGCTCACTTGAGAGTCCTCCAAATCCCCCTCCGCCAGACTTGAGGCATGTTGAAGCAGCATTGTTTTGGCAGTTTAAGTATGCCTGGTGACTACTGTCAACTGGTGGGCTGCCTAATGAAGTACAGTTGGGGATCCAAGCCTGCCCTAGGAACCACTCCTTGTGGGACTACTGTCCATCAAAGCAAAAGGAACAGGACTCCAGTGGCCCCTTCTTCCTAAAATAAATCCGTTCTCTCAGACAAAGTTTCCTACTGGCTATTCCCTAGTAGTTTGAGACTTTTAAAGTAAGCCATCAAAAGTCTTTATTGAAGTGCACAAAGTAAGCCTGGCATTTCTCATCTCATTTTCTGAGAGCTATTTAGTGATCCATCCTATTGGGGGAAACATCCATTTTGCACCATCTAATCCGACACATACATTTTAGTCTTACCCTTGCACTTCTTTAAGTACTCCCAATGATGTCATCATTGGCAAATTTCTGTGCTACATTCACATTGACACTTTATGGTGCTTTCTCCTCATGAAGTCAACTCAGTTTCTGATTACTGCGATTAAAGATGGTCCCAGGAAACTTAATACAAACACACAGAAAGTGATTTCTGTAGTACCACTGCTATACTCGTGATGCATTTTCGCATATTTGGTACTCAAAACTACAGATATGTGTATATATTTATTACCAGTTACAATATTGTATCAAAGAATAATCATCATTCATCAGGTTGGACTGGTGAATGATTGAATATGAGAGTTCTTTATTCACAACCAGTTATCAAACAAGTAGAAGTGAGTAAAGAAATTTGCTATTCTACCATGTGGTATGTTTCTAACTGTTCCAGAAGCAAATTCACTTCAAGCTTAGAACTTAATTATTTGCAATGATATGATATTGATGAGTAAGATCATAATTGCAGTAAGTAAAGACAACTAAACAGAGCAAAAATTATTCCTCTTGTAGGTGACATCAACATTCATGGCAGTGCAAGACAGCAGACAAAAGCTCAGGTAACTTGTTGCTGTGGCTTTATTTTGTCGTGTTGCTAGATGCAAACTTGACTGAGGATCACACTCATGGACTCTTTCACCAGATTTTTTTAATGATATAATTCAACACATTACTCAAAGTGGATACACATTGATAGGCACCACTATGTTACATGTATTAACTTCCATATGATATTAAGTTAACCAAGTAACTTTTAGTTTAGTTGACAGTATAATATTGTTACTAGAAAGATGTGTTTCTTTCTTTCTCTCTCTCTCTCTCTCTCTCTCTCTCTTTCTTTTTTTCTTTCTATTGACTTTTGATGTTGTAACAGAATGATGTAGTGGTAACTATCTTATCTAACATTGCAAACCAACAGTAAAAGGTAGCTGGCATACAAATTCAATGAGGAGTGTACTTGGAAATCATGAGCACTTAGTTCTCCCACATCAGACTGCAGCCACCTACCTGTTGGAGCAAAGGACCTCTGTCTCTACGGACGGCACTGAATGAAAACCCAGAAATATTGAGTGCCCAACATCCGCTAAGTGGTATCATCTTCAGAGAGGTAAATGCAGATGAGAGGTAGGAGCATTTACCAACTCACATCAACTCAGCCCAGGTGGGATTTATCTGCCCATTTATCTAGCTGAGAAGCTCTAATGGCCCAATGGGTTCTAGTAAAGGTTCAGGCTGGCCACCGATCAGTAATTTCTTTAAGCTTTTAATGTAGAGAAAAGTGAGTTGGAATCCCAGCTGTGCACAGGATGCCCAAATCACCTGAGATTTCCACAAAAATTCACCGCTGAAAGTGAAGTAAAAAAGGGAAAGTGAGATTGTTTAAACATTCAGAGCACCTCCACTACTTGTAATCAAATAGGAGGAGGGTATGGCATTGATGAGTTAGATTCTGTAGATGACATTCACCTGAGTATTGATGGTAGTGTGGAATGCCTTCCTTCACATACCTTTTCACCCCAGGCCATGCACCTTCACAAACCAAGGTGTGTTAGTATGTATCTCACCTGGAGGCTGGTCTCATGGTATGTTTTGGTTCGGCTGATTTTGATGATCAGAGCCCGTTTGTGGCAAACATCACGGCCTAGCAACAATATGTCACTCTTAAGAAATGTGTCTTCAGTTTGAGCTCATTTAGATGGTAACAACACAAAACACCTGTAACATACCTTAAATGCTACTGTAGATCTAGTGACTATTGGGATATCATAGGATGTACACTAACCAGGATGGTTCCCAGGCCATGGTAAATATACTGTAGTCTTATAGCAATACAAAGCTCTATTTAACTTGCATTGAATTATGCAGGCTAGTTTTATTTTGCTTTAACAGGTATTGTATACAAATATAACTGAGCTTGATCCTCTAAAGAAAGAATCTGAAGAAAGAAGGATTGATTGGTTGATTTGTTCATAGGTGAATTGATTGCCTGTATCTCAGAGTGTTGAAACAAAAGTCTTCACAAAATGCTTAATTGACCTGCAAAATACACACTTCTAGTTTATAACTTTATAGATGGGGGAAGCCATGTTGCATGTGCTCCCCAGTGCCATCCCTTCCTGTTGGTTTTATCATCATACTCTTCACCAGCAACATTGCAATCCCAGGGCTGCAGTTATCCCTGTGATTCCAACTACTCAGTCTTCCAACTGTGCTTATATATATCACCATCAGTCTCCCACTGTACTATACGTAAGTTCCCTGCTGACAACCTTGCCCCTTTACTCTCCCCGGGGGTTCTCTCCATATGAAGCAGTCTTTAACAATTCCAAACTCCTCTGCAGTGTTAAGTGTTGCATATCAAAGTGGTACTAAAATAACCAGCAGCTACACAACTCCCTGCCATCCTCCAAGGTAATCATCTTCACTAATGGTATAGAAACAATCAAAACCCACACTGTGTCTGACATAATGGTTACCAGAGGAACAATGCTACAACTACATTTGGGCAAGTACCAGGAGACTGGAGAGATCTAACTGGATCTTTCTGGGCATTTCATTACAATAAAGTGCTTTCAAGTGTTACCCACTGCTTTTGTAAGGGCAAAATTGTATTATCCTATCAAAGTGATGAATTGGCTTCAAATGGTCTCCTGTTTCTCAAAAGGCAGAAATGAGATTTAGGCTTCTCCTTTCTTGCATACATGTAAGATGACCAGGCTTGTGGGGTAGAAACTTTGATGGGAAAAATGGCAACTGCCAGTCCATTCTGGTACAGGTATTGCATTATCCATCTTATGTAATATATTGTGTGAAAGACTCCAAGGCAAAGTTGTTATCTTCAAGTACATTTTTTTATCAGATGGTAATAAATGACATGTTATAAAATATAATGGCCTCTGTTAGCATAGTGAAGTTGCTGAATTAACATTCTCTGTGCTGTCTAACCCTGTAACCAATAGAGATTTAGTAGCCAAATGTCTACTTTAGTGTGCTTAAGGTTTAAAAAACGTCTGAGGAAACAGACGTTGTTGGATACAGCAAGTACAGGGCAGAAATACCCTCTCCAGTGACTAGAAAGTATTGCTCACCATAGCATATTATATATATATGTAAAAAAAGAGTTTGCCAGATATTGAGAAATGCCTTCAAACCTCCCACCTGCTTTTTTTAAAGGAAGAAGCCAAGTACCAATAGTAGAATGCACACCTGTGAGGGGTAGGATCATTACTTCAGGTGATAATTTATGTTGGAAAGGAATAAAGGATTCTTCCATTTTTATCCTTTTTTTCCAGTCTTGGATTTGCCAAGTGTACTTTGTACTCTCATTGAACAAAGCAATGTCCTTTTGTTAACACATTGCATGTTCTGAAACATGTTGTAACATGTAAAGTACAGACAAAACTGCCCAGGAAGACAACTTAAGACTAATGAAATCTGGTCTATGACAGGTGGTAACTATAGATAGGGTAGTATCAATGGGAAGAATTATCTATGGGACCACCAAAAAGTGGTCAAATCAGCCAGGTGGTCCTTTCCTTGAGGTGATCTCTTTTACTACTCTAAAGTTTTACTGGGCCAACTTGCAAATTTGATCTGCCTATTTGAAAACTGATTAAAAAGAAGGAATCAGCCTGTGATCTGACCCACAAGAACACCTATTAAAGTAAGGAAGTCTGCATGTCCCAGGAGACATAATCATAACAAACTGACACTTCTGATGTAAGGCACTTAAGAGCTCTAGAAGCATTTTAGACACTTAACACACGCAAATAAAGTATTGCATGATACATGTACATACAACACAAGTCTTACAACAGGGTAACAAATCATAACGTTCAAGCTTCAGTATTGAAACAGTCATATTTAAACTAACTAGATGGGTAATGTTACAAAGTTGCATGTCATTTACAAAGTTACTGCTGCTATGGTCTAATTGAGTCTGAATCTGCATTCTGCTAGGCTCAAAACTATGATTATGATTATCATTGTTTTACCTTTGGGTGCACACATGGTTACGGACAGGTTGGAGTCCATTTGTCCGAAAAGATAGCAACAAAGTCATGAGGGCATCAATGCCATATAATGTAAGGCTTCAGTTTCAGTTTATTTCGCACTTTAAAACAAAATGTAACAATACAAATACAAGAAAATATAAATGAAATGTAAGAGTGCAGGGAGGCCGGAAGCATAAAATGCTTATGAGGAGGCCTCCCTTCATAACGTGATTAACAATTCAAATCAATCGGATAAATAAGAAATAACTTATTAAGTAACGGGTAAATAAAACAAAACAATAAAATACAATACGATACAATACAATACGGCTTAGGCAAGCTATTTTGATTTCATGTAATTTATAGCGAGGTAGCTAAAAATTCTGTGTAAATTGTGGCCTTCCTGGCTTTAGCATAGTTGGACCTCCTGAATTAAGCATAATGCATTGCCAGTACCCTCCTATGCAGGCCTCCAGTCACCATCTATCACGGATGCAAAGTCTCCTTTTAATAGATTTAACAAATTCTTGGACAACAAAAAACTGGTAGTTGTGATATATACATGTACATGTACATCCAAGGAGGTCTAAAAGGGACCTTCATGGTACCGAACAAAGCATCACAGTTTACAGTCTCCAATTGGGATAGAACAGGTCTATTGCTGATTGTATCACCATCTCTGTTGACGAAGACCGATTGGATCTCTACTGGCAGAATTGGTAGTTTGCAATGTCTACCCTGACAGATATATGTACATTTGCGTAAGAGCACCATGCCAATCACAATCATGAAGAAAATCGTGCTAGAAGATGCCTTGTAGTAATCTGTCACACTAACAACAACTGAACATCAACATCAGTTGTTTTAAAATCAATGAAAAATGCTACGAATTTCGCAAAGTCAGTTCAGACCCAGACCTGTCTGTCAATACAGAAAGAATCCCATTTTTTTCATTGAAACAGGTTTTAGCAAGCTGGTTTTACTGACCTGACAAGCCATTTACAATTTGGACCTATTGCAGGGCATGAAATATTAGGTGCATAATTTTATGCACTTTTGTTGGACCTGTGCACCTAATTCGTGTACCTCTGTCATGATATCCAAAAGTGAATTTTAATCCCTGAATGATGTGTAAACGTTGGTTTATCCATAATATCTATCTGTATGGGTACACTAGGAGATTAGTTGTGGTTCGTCTCTCAGGGGCAAGAAGGTACCTACAAACAAGGCCATCCATCACAGATGTAAAATCTTTCCTAAACTTGCCTGACATTTCTGTCTACATCTGAAATTGGACGAGAAAAGTCCTAACAACAGCGCCAGGGAGATTCACTGGGGAGAAAGGACCAGTTCAGCTTGGCTGTCAAGACTGCACTTCTGTGCCTCCTTTCATCAGAGAGGGACGTCCAATATTTTTTGTCTTCCTCCCTTGTGTGGTTGATATTCTTAGAAAGCTTGAGTTTTAAGCCAGAGACAAAAGTTGCTATTACTGTAAATGCACTTACTTTCGCGAAGGTTTTTGCTCTGTATGAAGTTCACTGTTGAAACAATGCTGTAGTTCAATATAAAAACAAAATACATATTCATGGTGTCATGTAAGAGGACATAAAACTGTGCTAACATTTCATGATTTACAGTACCAGAGTTTGTCCTGTATTGTTGTTGACAGGATGACGTAGCAGCAGCTGTAGGGGATGATATGCTGCAGTACTAACATCTGGAACAGGTGGTTGGGTTGTCAGAAGCCTTGTGAGCCACCCATTTTCATGGTAATATCTTGAACAAAAAAGTTTTATCTGGGAAATCTTGCTCAAAAACAATTGAAATTTTCTAATAGAGCAGCAATAATGAAAAGTTGTATCATGCTCTGCAATAGGATGTTTTGTACTTGAGTGACTGAGTTTGTAATAATATTAAGGTTGCATTTGTTCCCAATGACAATCCTCAGTCAAGAGATTTCCCCTTTAACACAAAGAAAAATTAATATTTTGACTCGTAAAATGTAAAATGAATCATCTGCTAAGAAAGTTCTGTGACGAAGAAATGAAAATGATTGCCATTGAACTAGCCTCAGGGTATTTAGTGGATAACAATCTTCACTATAGATGATAATCCGTGATATGGTGTTATTTCTGCAATTCAGCAATCTTGCTCCAATAGCCAAACAAAACCAAAACAAGTCTAATGTCATCCCTTATTTAACAGTTGAGGCTGACAGATAATGATTTGCATCAACACACCAATCAAGTCCAAGGCCAAGGGACCCTGGAGCATTGGGACATCCAAGTGGCCAGGCCCACCCCTGGTATGAAACCCTCACTGGGTTCTAAGTTTACACAGGTTAATTTAGAGGATATCAACAAGACCCCAAAATGTACATTAAACTCTTCCTGTGGAACAAAAAAATCCATGATCCTTCCCTCACACCTCATTGACATGTTTTTCGTTACTGGAGACAAACTTTCCATGTGCAAGGTGTATAAGCACCATAATGTTGAAGAAATACCAAACAGTCCCAGCATCCAAAAAGTGTGGACAGTCTGACCTAGTCAGTAAGAATTTGACTGAAACCTGTCACAAATTCTTCTTCCGATTTGCTGTTACACACCCTTTTTCTCGTAGTTTCCCCATCATAAGTAATGTAAATAATTGATACGATGTCCGAGAGATTAACTGCAGGTTTACCAACACTCCTCCAACCAGTGGTTACCAGGTGTGAGCAGGAAACTTGAGTGCAGGAATGATGTTAGTTCTGATAAGATCATCAATGTGGTTTTTCTCTCCTGGGAAGGAATTATTTCCCCCTGCTTCTTACAGTCCGTGCTTGTACCAGCTTCCTTTCACCACATCAAGGTGACACCAGGAAAAGCACCCATGCCCGCGCCAGGGAAGTAGCTAACACCATCCATTTGTAGATTGACGTATCTAACGCTGGCCAAATCCTTCTGCTCAGGTGGCTTTACACAGTTCTTTTAAAAGATCATGGGCACAATGGCCCCATTTTCCAAATTGGCAATGCATAGTCCCTTGAGGATGGGGGACTACCTCTTTAGTATTCTTGGGCACTGAGTTGTTTTTCAGCTCTTTCATTCAAGGTTTCAAATTCGGCAGGAGATTTTAGGAGGTCCCTGTCGAACAAATCCTTTATTTTTCTTGCCATACTATACTGTTTTCCCCAGGTGAGGGGCTGAACTGCAGTCTTGGTGGGGCCATTTGTTTAATTGTGGTTGGATTTCAATGAGAAAACACAAAATACAAACCTCAGAATACCATTCAGCTCCAACAATCTGATTTTCTCAGCACAATGGGAGGAAGATGGGGGTCAAAATTCCCGGCATTGTAAGCCTCCATAATGCAATTATACACACAGTGCTTCACAAAGGCGCCGCTTCTTAATGGCATTTCAACAGAAAAGACATCAAATGTACTTGAATTGTCTGATAAAAGGATTTTCACATTCAATGTCACAATCAGAATTTGCGGAATGTTAAAAGCCACGTTTACGGGAGATGAATACGCCCAGACGCCCAGGAGAAATCGGGGCACTAAAATGATAATGTTGTTGACAGTTGTAATAGCCAGACTGGTTCTGCTCATCTTTAGTTGAAACAAAACTGTTTAAGCCATTTCTGATCCAGACTTCCCCACCGCTGTATCCAGAATTTGATCACTGCCAGCACACAAATTGAATATAGTCCATAATGACCCCTGATGCAGTACAAAGCCATTCTTCTATAATTGCTGTGCATGGAAAGTCGTAACAATGCACATTTGTCAGAGTAGGATGTGATTCATCTAATCATTTTAAACATTATTTGGTACAACCAAATTCTGTTCTGTATCACTCCACACTCTAAAGCCCTGGTATTATTCCTGGCAGGCTATAATGCTGGTAGAAATATTAGCGGAAAGCATTATGCTGAAATCATCATGCAAGTTGGTACATGTATGGTAGTACAGTAGTCATCTTTTCAACCAAGTATATTTCAAGTGAAAAACTTTGGCCAGAATCTGAATTACGTTTATTATTATAGACAGAATCAGTACTAGTGAAACCACCATTCCACTAGAGGTTGCCACCAACGAGTGAACAAGTATTTGATATATCGCTCAGTGAATTTCCTAGACAAAGAATATTTTTTCTTACATTTTGTGTTTTGTTGTCTTTTTAAGTGATTGCTATATAGTGGAGAGAGCACCTGAAGCTGAGCGATTTCAACAGAAAGAAAACAGTAGGCATGGAAAAGTTCTACCTCTCGTCACTAGTTAGGTAAGTTTGTTGTCAGAACAGTATTTATAATGTATCCTACATTAGACCTTGTGAGCTTTCCTCATAAGTTACCTGTATGTATGTATACGTACAAAGTGTAATGTATGTGAGTAAAGCATTTTTTTTTCAAAATGACTTCAAACACAAAGAACAAGACTTTAAATAGAACTGTTGTACAAGATTGCATATCGATGATGCTTTTCCCACTGGACATTTTAAGTAGAATGAGCGACCACCTGTTATACCATGTCTTGTCTCCGGTGCACCATCATGATCTGGACACCAATTACCATGGTAACGAGCTATGTAAACAGATCACTGGAAATTCCATGGATCACTGAGGCCACTGTTCAACACCAGTCTGCAAGAAAAGTCGTGACAGCTGCCAAGGAAGCATTCACAATTTTGATTTTACTTTTATTTATTCATCTCATCACTTGTCATTCGGTGAATTGATGAAGTTCTACTGATTCTAGAAATTTAAACAAAATTTTTCTTTGTTCAACCAAGCTTCTATTTTCTGTTATCCTGGGTTCAACTAAAATAAATTATTATATGGCATTTTCTACACCTGTCTATGTGAAGAACATCCAGTTGCAGTTCAGAGAAAGCCACTAGGGCCTCCCCAAAAAAATCCTCTTTTGAGCAATCTCTGTTAAACAAACAGTTCTCTGAAAATTAATTATTTCAGATTGATTCTTGAGCTCTCCACACATATCCGTACATACACTAACATGCAACCCTAAAACATTTTATCTTTTCGGTGTAACTAACAATACCTCCACAACTAAATATGATAGTCTGACACTGCAGTTTCTTTTTCCATACCGGTATTTATGAAAGTAAGTACGCATTACTTAGGAAATGACAATTTGTACAGAATGGATTAGCTGATATTTTTTTAGGATTTTTAGAAAACATTCTCGTCCAGTGAGGAAGCTGCAGGAAGCAGCAGCCAGAGAACAGGATGAGGAGTGAAGTGTTATCTACAGCGCACAAAGCAGCAGTAGTCATTACGTAAACATTTACAGAAAAGATGTAGATAAGGGGTTAAACAGCACCTTGAAGTCATGAAGGATGACAGATGTATTTTGGGTCCCAGCATGGCATGCCTAATGATGATAGATAGTTACATCCTGGGGGGAAGTTCTCATTAAACCTTCTCTACCTTCAGGCCAAGACCAGGAGTCCCCTCCAACCCTGCTGCAGCCCTCCTGGAGACAGGTAATCCTTGGACGAAGCATGACGCTTTTTGTTACCTATAATAGTGCAACACAGCTTCTCTACAGCTCACATATGCCGGGTCACCCATGCTCTTTATGATGTTAAAGTGTGTTGGGTTCTTTTACTTGCAGAGGTTTGACACCATAAATCTCCCTCATACACAGGGCCACTTCCAGTTTCTCATTCAAGGAAATCAGAAGAAAACAAGAAATGAAACATTTCACTCCTCTGTGAGTTGTGAATTTCATATTTTATAAATTGTGAATTTTTTGCTGATTCTGTGCACATTCCACAGTCATTTCCTCCCATTCTGCAGATTATAGGAGGAAATGACCTCCAATCTGTCCTTCCTGTCAGTCTCTAGTTACACCATTTCCCTCTCCCTTCCTATATATCCTACTTCTACTATATTGAAATAAGTACGGACACACAAGCAAACAGACAAACACACTGAAAACAAAACCTCTGTACATTTTAAGGTTATGTAATTATTATATTTTTCAGAAACTTGCCAAGGAGGAGGAAGAGGACAGCATGATGTGGACCACGAAGGGGGAGTTTTGTGTCAGCGGACATGGTGAGCATGAGGAGATTTAAATTCCCTAATACTAATAGTTCACCTGGGTGCCTACAGCATGTTGTACTGTGCCCACGCAAAACCATGGTTTCTGTTAGATGTTTGGTCATTGTTGCCATGCGAGTTTAATACAATACGGATTTCGCAGAGATGCGGTAGGTTCTGCCGACATGCTGGTGCCATCCTTTTTGTCTGACCCAATTGCTCAGGACATGTGCCTTTATGCAGGTGTGACATCAGCAATGGTTCAAAGGTTTTTAGAAGGCCAAATTTTTTAGTTGGATTTTGATTGTTCCAGATGAACTTTCATGCTTGATATTCATCCCTTGTTGACTTATGTGCTCCTGTAGTTTCAGAGTTGTATCCCAAACATACCACTTCTTTCCTAGCCCAAAGTCTAAGCCATAATATAGGTAAATATTGACCATTTATACAACCTTTATATAGAAAAAGACTGAGTTGCCATTATACTATGTAAGAACAAAAATCAAAATATTACATTTTTCAAGATGCAAAATTGTGAATTTGAAGATCCAAATTTATACTATTGCTGATTGAAAAGTTTTGTGCCATGATGAAGTTCAAAGCTGGCAAGAATTGTCAGCAGTTGGCAAGTGACTAATGACAGGAAAACCTTACTCCCAGGTTCCCAGGCTTTCCCAGTGAACTTTGCCCTTCTTGTTGATGTTTTTTATTATTTTTGGAAGAAGAACATTCTGACCAAGAAGACCAGTGATGACAGTCTTACTTTCCCTACAGACGACTCTCAGTCTGGTTTTGTCATCAGTGCTTGGCTCCAACACTACCCTCGCCCTGCTAATTCTGGACCTTTTTTGTTACCAGGTATCAATCCTTCACTACTGTACGTGCTCGCACATGTGGAAAAAGAAATTAGTAAACAGTTCCTTCATGCAGAGGTTTAAAGGTGCCTTTTGTGCCTTCACAGTGCCCCATTTACTTTAGCACTTAGCGTCTTTTTCTCACACAACTTCCACATGTGGGAAACCCATAGACTTGCAAAGTATTTTCAGTTGTGACAACATTCAACAGTCCACCACCTGACTTCTGGAACACCAAGTCGTGTCTGGTCTGCATCCTACCGGAGTTCCTCACCTCCGCGGCACTTAGCGGCTGACCTCCTGACCTATCTGGAAATGTTGTACTGACATGGATTACATCATGAAATAGATCTATGCAAGTATATGAGCTTATCAGGGTATTCACTGTGGAGAACACAAAAGAGCATGGTTGGGTCTTCCGAATATTTATTTACTTCCATATCAGCTTCACTTGTTTCTATAAATACGACTGACAACTTGGGCTGATTCCCACAGTATGAGAGAGCTTAAAACGCTGCCAAAACAACTGGTAAAGTGGGCCTTGGCTTGAGTGCATGCTAGCCATGCTGTAGTTGAAATACAAACATCACAGTTGAACTAAGGTCTCTAGCAGCTCATCTAACAAATGTTTTACCTGTAAAACCAATGTAGCCAGCCCAGTCAGCGATTCCAAGAATGTGGCCAGTCAACCACTGACAGGAGCAGTGTCCTTGCAACACGCAAAGAATTTTTGGCATTGAAACCTTTTTGTTGTAATGCTCTGTCAGCAGGCAGTCAGGCGGTGTTTGTGGAAAAACTGTGCACAAAGTGGCCATCTTGTCAGGCCTGATCTCCAGCAGTTTCACCTCCAGGAGGGGTACTTACAGTATCAATACATAACAAGCACCAACTGACAAGTAGTTGCATCTTGTCACGGTGATAAGATACAGCCTTGCAGCTACACACCCCCACCTTATACTACATGTACTACATGTACATGTGCTACCATGTAGTGTAGGGTAAGGGGTGTCACAAGGGGGGATACTACAGCCTGTAGACATAGCCACTACTGACATGACACCACTTCCACATACTTATTTTGCAATGCAGGGTTGGCCCAAGCCAGACCTCAACCTAAGTATGAATTTGCAGGCACCTATAAAGAAAGCCAGTAGGAGTCCAGTCCCTCTTGAGTCAGGGACCTGGTGATACACGACACAGAGGAACCAGACAAATCACTGATACCCGACCACTTCACCATTTAACAATTCAAAGATTGTCACTTTTATTTGCCACCGCACTAAATCTTCCAAAATCCCCAACAATGAGCGGAGTACCCAGGGAAATCGGTGCCCTCCAGCCAAGGTGATATTGTAGATGTAGGCACAATTACTGGTTCCCAGATCTCCCCCCTTTCACCTGTCATCCTTCCCTGGCATAAATCAGCTGTGAGGAGTGGTCGGAGGGGCAGGGATGTCAGCGGTTTGGGGGTGAGGCAGAAATGGAACACCAAACAGGTGCATGCCCTGAAAAAATACAACCTATAGAAGGGCTTGAAATACCAAATGCATATGCAGGTTAGTGCAGGTAAAATTGGAGCTGTGGTGGTATTTCTGATGCCTACCTCTATCTAACCTGCACTGGTCCAGGCTCTGGTCTATTCATGTATATACGTAAGTGAACGTGGATTCTACTGTGAAGTACAAAAGAAATGATGGCGATGGTTTCTGAGTACTTTTGACTTTTATCCATACCTCTTAAATTCTGGGTAGTGCAGGTGGTAAAATTTGTCTGCAGTGCAGGTATGCAAAAAACACATGTATTTCAATTACTGCTATAGACATGAGTTGCATTAAATGTGTAAACTTTGTTCTTTTCCATTTTTGGCCTGGGATAAGACCTATCAGACATCCTCTCAATCAGCTGCTCTCAATTTGTGAAACAATATCCACAAAATTAGAAATTATTCTCATTGTTGCTGAATTCACCATCTGAATTCCTTTCACTTTTTCTCAAGGGTGCCCACTTACAGACACTTAAATAAAAGGACAGAAGGCAGACAGAATAAGAAAACTGTGACTTAGATAAGATGGAAAGGTTTTTTTCAAGAACATTATTAAAATGGTCATTGTGGTGTTTTTCATTGTCATCCATTGCAGAATGAAAAACAAAATATTAAGGTATGTTTATGTGTTCATGCTTTGTTTAAGTGATAGAAACTCAGAGGCCCTCCAGTGTAAAAGATAAGTGATGTGGAGCTGTCGACCTGGCAATGGTTTTTCTGTTGGCCAGCAGTGCAATATGGCTTTGTCACCGCTCACCTTTACAGCCACGCACACAGGGCAGGCCCCTACTTTCATCTACATTTCCCACCACTGCAAGGCCTCCCCCACTCTTGAGTTATGAACACACGTATTGTCTGTGGATTGTTAAAGGTTTTATGAGACAAAGCTATTCCTCACAAGATATCAAAATGTAGAATTTATGTAGAAAGATAAGATACACCTGCCCACTTTACTGAGTCATGAATGTCAATGCTTAAACTTTTCTGACAGAACTTAAAAGTTAAACAAAGGAAAGCTCCTTGTCCATTGCTTAACATTGCACATCAGTAAACCAGGCTTATTCAGGACCCGTAAAAGGACCCGATACCTCACAGTGAATTATGGCTGCCACTCAGTATTTCCCAAGGAATTTAATCTGCTGACTGCATTGTAAGAGTAAGAAAACACATGACACATTGTACTGTGCAGTCTGAGAAGTAGAAGCCAAGCCGGTCTGACCCAGCACTGCTAGCGCGGTGCAAATTGATGCCTCCTCAATAGGAGCAGGACACGTGAAGCGCTTTGGGTAACGGGAAGATGAGCCCAGGACTTGTTCCGAAGCCATTAACAACACAATGAGCACCTCCCGGGCCTATTGTTCGCTGTCATCAATTTTTCATGAAAAACCAACAATGTTGAATCACCTTAAGTAAAGCTGACATGTGCTGCCCAGAATACTGGAACCGCTGTCCTTTGAACAATCACCCCGCTTTGAGATGCTGTGGAGATTTGTCTCCTCAGGATGTGGCTTTTGTTTCATCGACAAAAAAAATCAAAATCCTGTAGTGAAAATGACACAATAACTTTCAAGGACTCTGATTTACCAACAGAAATGGTGGGACAAAAAGGATATAATCTTTCACCAATCTCAACCATACCACTCCAAAAACGGCATTAATTTTTGATAAGCATCAACAATACTAAAAATTTCGGGCACGTGTGTGAAAGTAGAGTCGCCGAAAGCTACCTATTTTGTAGGATGTTTGTTGCGGTTGAAATATTTATGACATTGTAAACTGCATGTCCCCGAAGAGCACCCTTTAGAAAGGACAAGTATTCATCCACATTGAAGTCAGCATCACACCGCGTCAATTTTTGTTCTGCTCCGCTTCCCAAAGTCGTAACGAAATAACGGGGGTCGAGACTGTTTACCCACATTTTATTGAATTGTGGAAAGCTGACATAATCTGGAATGGGGATAGAGCGTGCGCGGAGCTGTTTTGCTGGACATGCACGCTTGGGTTGTGCCCTGGCCAGGCATGTGTGTGTGTATCTGTGGTCTGGGGAGGCTTGTGTGAAGATCGGCCACTTGGGGAGGCTACAATTACAATAGAACAAGACTCTTTAACCCAGATTGTCGTAATATTGCCCAAGAGATCAAGGTGGTTTCGACTTCTTTCCGACAGTCTCGGTAGACTCCCCTCACCCAACCATCAATTAGGTAATGACATCCCCTATCCACAGCGGTTGTGTGGAGCTGATCGGTAGGTGGCGACTGCAGCGGACGGCTGGGCAGCACACAACATCCGCAGACCGCGCGGTGTCTCTACCAGACTCCAAGGGAAGCTGGAAAATGTTAGAAATTTGGCAAATAGACTGAATAATATGCCAGAAGTTTTACTCGGCCATAGGGGTACACCCACATGCTTGCTAACTCGTCCGGCAGATTATTCCGTGTATTTGCACAATTTCTACCATTTTCCAGCAGCCCACTGGAGTCTGGTAGACAGTCCTGCCCACTTCTGTTTCAACAAACAAACAATTAAACAAGGAAGCAAGCAACCTAACATTTGTATGAAACATCACATAGCAGCCTGGAGTGTCCGTTCTTTTCTGTCTCTGGAAATCCTTCCTTGGT